CTTCATTCCCGATGTTAATCTTGTCGGTAAATTAAAATTTTCATACAGTTTCTTCCTCGGGGAATTAGCGACATAGCACACCTTCAGAGGCACTGTTGTACTTGGAGACATGATCTTCGTCGGTAAATTACTGACGTGGGTTACCAAAAAACATCTCCGACAATACTGTTCTGGCTTACTGGTGGAGACATGTTTCTTGTCGGTAATTGGCAGTCTCCTCACCGACGTAGCTTTAATCCACGTCGGTAAATCAATTACCGAGGCCACTTTCAGTGACAACAGGTTTACCGACATGATTCAGGTGGGAAGTTGGTTTTACCGATGTGATTTCCTTTCTTTCCGACATGCTTTTTCATCGGTGAAGTCGTGAATTCTTGTAGTGGGTGGCGATTGCCCGTAGCATTCCTTAATGAATGTTTGGGATCATAAATTCCCTCAGAAGGTTAAGTCTTGTGGTTTGTTATTATTGTACCCATTTTTCAAAATTCTAGTGGACTGCGAATTGGGTTTTCTTTGTCTTGGGCCTGTCTGTCTTGATGGGCCACTCAATAGCTTTTCACTGGACCCAAATGTTTAGGGCCTGTGATTTTTGGAACATGTGATAAGAAAATACTAAATAGATTAATTAATCAATAGGTAGTGCTATAGGGATAACCTTTTTATCTTATTTTTTTATACAACTTTTACATGTCATTAAATAAGTAGATATATTTAATATCATAGATCTCATATGAATTAAAAGAATCAATCATTTTAATGAGATGTCAGATTATACAAAAAAATAAGATAAAATAATTGTCCGAATAGCATTCCCTTAATCAATGGCGGAAGAAGGACGGCAACGCCTAACGTGTCCCTTTCCAGTGTAAAGCAAGAGACTGTTAGTCATTAAAGGATGAAAATTTTTTATCACAAAACAAAATCCGAACGAAGTTGCAAAATTTGAAACATACATGGTCCTTACAAATTACAATTACCGCTACCAATTCATTGAAATTAACAATTGGACGCCAAATTCCACCCACCAAAAAAAAAAAAGAAAGACACCAAACAGTACATTTTATTCATTAATTAATATCACTCAAATAAACAGACCTGAATTTTGATCGGAAATATTTAGTAGTAAAACACATGGTATCTTACAAACAAGTCACAATCACTTACGACATTAGGACAAAGATAATGAGGACTATCCTCTATAACAACAAACTCAACACACATAGTATCTTACAAACAAGTCACAATCACTTAAGATAATAGGAGAAAGATAATGAGGGCTATCCTCTATAACAACAAACTCAACACACATAAAGTAGTTCTTAGGATGAAGAAATCCCTCAGCTCCACCGATAATGTGTTTAAGATGGTCATTGTGGATCTCCTCATTAAGTATCCTGCAAAAATAAATTTAAACATTTAATAATACTAAGATGTATATATATAGAAAAAAATTATTTATATATTATAAAAATTGATGCCAAGCAAAAATGTGGGGGACGTTGTCTCTGATTCTCTCACGGAGAGGTGGTTTATATATGGTGATATGATATCATATCACCCTTGTAAACTCGCGTTATGTAGGAGTTAATGATGATTTGAGAGAGGGGAAAGCCAAGTCATGGCATGGGAAAGACACGGGACTTTCTGCAGGTACTATTGCAGCCATATATGGTGACGACGGGCTTCTCTTCGGGCGGTGAGCTACGGTGGTGGGACGAAAGCAAGGTATGTAAGGAGCAACCCTGCGGCCCCCGGAATAGCAGCGAAAGAGAGTGTGAAGAATGGAAAGGTGAAAGGAGTCATGGGAAGGGGTGAAGATGATGTTGATTGAGTCGAACTCGTCAACTCGGTAGCCCCTTGAAGACTTACAGCGGTGTGGGTGCTGATCATCAACTGTATCTTATGGACTCGTCGCATATATTAACAAAATCAAAACGAAAACATCAATCAAATTGAGAGAGAAAGTAAGATTATCAGAGCTGCTTGTACCTTACTGGTGACTTGGGGGGTTAGCCGCTGGGGCTGGTGGACTCCGATTTACTTTATCAACATGAGGTGATTCGTTTGCTGCAACTCCGAGGAGCCACATGATTGTAACAACTATAAATACAAAAATTATGGATAAAAATGAGTTTGCTGCCATATCAGATATCACCGGAGAAAGAGGGAGCGTTGGTGATGAAGAGTAGTACTGGAGGAGGAGGAAGGGGATGAATATTCGTGCATAACAAGTAACAACAGCTAAGTTTTTATACTAGGAACTGTTTTGAGAATGTCACTGATTTTCAAATCAATTACTGAACATGCCACTAAGTTTGGGGACATGTTGGTAGAGTATAATAAAGTAAAATAATTAAGAGAAACTTTTTTTTAGTTATTTTTCAACACAACTTTATATGGTATTTAAATCATTAATTTTTTATTTATTTAAAATTTATAATATTAAATATATATATTTATTTAATAATATATATAATATATAAAAAATAAAAAAATTATTTTTATAACATTATCCTCGTGCGCTGAGGTCATCTGTATGAACCCCAGCGCGTCCAGATTTTCACTAAATAGTAATATTCCATTGCGTTGTGAAATGAAGTCATTGAGATTTCTTTACCATAAACAAATTTGTAAACCATACAAAACCTCCATCAGAATTGTAGACGTAATTATTCTGATTCTACTTTATCAACCGATTTAACATTTGGTTGATAAAATAGCATCAGATTGATAAAGTAACGTCATTTGACATTCGGTTGCTAAATTAGCATCAGAATCATTTAGCATCAGAATAATTACATCAACAATTCTGATGGAGGTTTTGTACAGTTTACAGATTTGTTAAAGATAGTGATTTTCATATCAGAAACTTGTTTGTCTGATGGTGATTCATTGACTTCGAGGGTAAAGGAGATGAACGTCTGATAGTGATTTTCAGATCACAAATTTGTTTGTCTGATAGCGATTCATTGGACTTCGAGGGTAAAGGAGATGAACGGAAACTCTTTAATGTGGAACGGGACGCGCTTGGGTTCGTACACATGACACCAGCCCAAGTAAACGGCCACTAAGGCAGGTGGTCACTACCTGCTCCAAGCGTGGTGTTCAACAAACAGGTGTTTTCGGAATTTCAAAAAGGTGAACCATACAACTTGATCCCTTCCTAACCCCCTCCACCCAATTGATAAAAACAGTTACTCCCCCTCACCTTTTCTTATAGGTGGGCAAATGGTAACTGAATGATTATTAAAAATTAATTAAAAAAATCAATTGGTAAGATGCATTTTGTTTTGGGTTTTTTTTTTTTTTTTGGTTATAACAAAAAAAAATTCAGTTGGTTATTGGTTAAGGAGTTTAAAAACTAAAAATTAAATGTATAA